GGAGTACATAGTTGAGTTGTTGCCCGCTTTCGATGAAGTCACCTTTGAGCATATTCCTAGAGAAGTGAATCAACTGGCAGACGCTCTGGCCACTTTAGCAGCAATGTTCAAAGTCAATTACCCGAATCATGCACCCAGTATAAGGATCTATTGTTACAAGGAGCCAGCACATATTTTCCCTGCTCATTGTCTCACAACTGAAGATGTATCAGACGAAAGGCCGTGGTATTTCGACATCAAAAGATATCTGGAGAAGAAAGAGTACCCCGAAGGTGCTACAATTTGTGATAAGTGGACTCTCAAAAGGTTGGCGTCTAAGTTTTTATTGTCAGGAGACGTTATGTACAAGAGAAACTATGATTCGATTCTGCTCAGATGCATGGATAAACACGAAGCAGAATCCATTATACGAGAAATACACGAGGGCTCTTTTGGGACTCATGCCAGTGGGCATTCCATGGCCAAGAGAATCCTACGAGCAGGTTATTTCTGGATGACGATGGAAAGTGATTGTTGTGTATATGCCAAAATGTGCCATAAATGTCAGGTTTACGCAGACAGGATACATGTTCCTCCCACTCCTTTGAATGTGATGACTTCACTATGGCCCTTTGCAATGTGGGGTATTGATATGATTGGATGCATCAAGCCGAGCGCTTCAAATGGACACAGGTTTATCCTTGTTGCTATTGACTACTTCACCAAGTGGGTGGAAGCGGCATCGTACAAGAATGTGACCAAGCAAGTTGTCACTCGTTTCATCAAAAGAGAGATCATATGCCAGTACGGAAATCCTAACAAGATCATCACTGATAACAGGTCAAATCTCAACAACAAGATGATGAAGGAAATGTGTGAAGAGTTCAAGATCGAGCACCATAATTCATCACCTTATCGGCCAAAGATGAATGGGGCAGTCGAAGCCGCTAACAAGAACATAAAGAAGATCGTCCAAACAATGGTGAGAACATACAAAGATTGGCATGAGATGTTGCCTTTTGCCATGCATGGCTATCGAACTTTGGTGCGTACTTCCACTGGGGCAACTCCGTTTTCACTAGTCTATGGTATGGATGCGGTACTCCCGGTCGAAGTAGAGATTCCTTCCTTAAGGGTTCTGATAGATACTAAACTTGATGAAGCAGAATGGATTCAAACAAGACTTGACCAACTCAATCCCATCGAAGAAAAGCGCCTGGCAGCCATTTGTCACGGTCAGTTATACCAACAGCGTCTCAAGAGGGCATTTGACAAGAAGATTCGGCCTCGAGAGTTCCACTCAGGTGACCTGGTCTTAAGAAAGATTCTCCCAACCCACACTGATCCAAGAGGCAAGTGGACTCCCAACTATGAGGGACCGTACATCGTGAAGAAAGCTTTCTCAGGAGGTGCTCTAATCCTGACAAACATGGATGGGGAAGACGTTTCGCTTCCAGTCAATTCAGACTCAATCAAAAAATACTACGCATGAAAGGACCCGCTAATTTGAAAACCCAAAAGGGCGGCTTAGACAAAAATTAGAGCTAAAAAAAAAAGAAAAAGAGAATAACCCGCTAAGTCGAAAACCCGAAAGGGTGGCTTAGGCAAAAATGGGTGTCCCGGTGGATTGAAAACCCGAAAGGGAGATCTAGGAAAAAATTAGGGACAGAAAGCGAGAGACTGCAGTCTGAAGATTCTTCATGTACACCCTCTTAATGTGGGATATATCGATCTAATTATTATCTTTTGGAAGCACGACACTAGGACGACCTAGGATGCGAGAACTATAGCAATATCAGTTTTAACGGAAATTCAAGATTTTCTTATTGCCATTTTACTCGTTGTATTTATTTTCTTTTCCGCAACTTCCTCATTTAGGAGTTGTATCTATGTATGAATGCCCATTCACGGGCCAAACTCATTAATAAAATTTGCCCTTCCATTAAAAAATCTTTTTTATGTTCTTTTACTTTATTTTTCGTATGTGAATTGTGATTTAAATTCTTTGTTAAGCATTGCATTGAAAACAATAAGTCGATAATAATCACGAGCTAAGATGTGAAACACTACATTACGTGGATATGGAGGCATCCCAAGGGAATGTTGTGGCGTTCAAGTGTTCGCTCTTCTATACAGGTAGCAAGTCATAACGGTCACCTTGACCAAGATTTCATCCTCGTCGCCTCCTTACATTTGACCGAGCGCCCGACTCTCCCACACAGAGAGACTTGGGGCATTGTTTGGGATCAACGTCTCTTTTCAGTTACTCACAAAACTCAACACTTGAAGGAATTCAGATCAAGTCTTTTCTCCTTAGCAAGATTTAATTCCCCAGCGAATTCGACAAGGATAACTTTTTCTCTCAGATTTCAAGCACCAGTCCATGTCGGTACCTTAAGATGACGAGCAATGGATCCCAATGAGTTTTTGACATTTTTCACACAATAATCATCACAACATATTGCATTGCATCCTCAAACGCACAGCATATCCATGGATCATCATGTCACACTTCAAATGCATATGAAGCATGAGCCAGATCAATCCCAAATCAACAAAACATCCTCACAAAAAATTTCATCCTTATAATTCCCAGTTAACATCTGTTATTACACTACCAACTAAAATAAATCAGGGTGTTAGTACGTCATACTCTCCAACTCTCAAAACCTTCACTTTATCTTTCCTAGGGTCGTAGGTCATCCGTAGACTTTACCCTCTCATCCTCTTAAGGTCGTAGATCATCCGTAGATCTTACCTTCGCATTTTAGGGTCGTAGATCGTCCATAGATCTTACTTTCACTTTATCTCTCTTATTGTCGTAGGTCGTCTGTAGACTTTACCCTCTCTACCTTCGTATTTTAGGGTCGTAGGTCGTCCATAGATCTTACCATCGCGTTATGTTTTTTTTAAAGGTCGTAGATCGTCCGTAGACTTTACCATCTCCTCTTTACCTCTTTTAAGGTCGTACCTTCGCGTCAAATTTCTTAGGGTCGTAGATCGTCCGTAGATCTTACCGTAGCATCATCTTTTTTCTTAGGGTCGTAGATCATCCGTAGATCTTACTGGCGCTTTATCTTCCTAGGGTCGTAGGTTGTCCGTAGACTTTACCCTCTTATCCTCTTAAGGTCATAGATCTTCCGTAGGTCTTACACTCGCTTTATCTTTTTAAGGTCGTAGATCGTCCGTAGATCTTACCATCGCTTTATCTTTCTAGGGTCGTAGATCGTCCGTAGATCTTACCGTCACTTTATCTTTCCTAGGGTCGTAGGTCGTCCATATACTTCACCCTCTCATCCTCTTAAGGTCGTAGATCGTCCGTAGATCTTACCGTTACGTCATCCTTATAAGGTCGTAGGTCGCCTGTAGACTTTCGCCTCTTTACCTCTTTTAAGGTCGTAGATCGTCTGTAGATCTTACCGTAGCGTCATCCTTTTAAGGTAGTAGATCGTTCGTAGATCTCACCATGGCGTTATGTTTTTAGGGTCATAGATCGTTAGTAGATCTTGCCGTTGCACCAAATTCTTAGGGTCTTAAGTCTTCCGCAGACTTTACCTTTGTGTTATCCTTAAGTTTCTTACCTCCAGTCGCCGCGATATTGTCAACCATATCTTTTCAGTCACTCTACCACTCACTCCCTTGAGATCCTTGTATTGGAATCGTTACCCCAGTACAAGCTACCTTTTTTTCAACCATGTTTTATCCATCACGATCAGTCCACCAAAAGGCCAGTTTGTCTTTCTCGAGGCGGACATTCACACCAGTGAATGACACTCACACCATCTCTCCAGGGCAAACTTCGGGTCCTAGTATTTAATCATCTTCCACCTTGAACTCTCGAAAGGCTGATGCTAATCTCGCCTTCAGGTTTAAGACGATTAAATAGGGGCAGCTGTCGTACCCCAAATTTGCCCTATCTCTTTTATTTTTGTCTGGTTTTTGAACTTTGCATTCCATTTGCATATCCCGGATCTCATGGAATCAGGTGCTTTGGTTTAAAGTTTTAGGGTTGCGCCCTCTTTATGTCTAACTTGTTTTAAGATTTTCTTATCAGGTAAAAAGGAAGCACATCTGGTTCTTGTTTAGTGGATCGTGGAATGAATTGTGTCGTCAGGTTACAAGGTTGGTTCTCACTCAAATTTATTAGAGCCTGGATTAGGGTTTATTTCCCTATGTGTGCCGATCAAGATGCTAGGGTTTTGGGTCTTTGGTTTCTGGGAAGATGTCTCTCTCACCTGCCCCAAAGATAGCTCATAGCTCAATGTGTTAGGTCAAGAATTTCATCTCCTCGCATTTCAAGTTTCTTCTTTAAGCCTCTAAGCCATTGAGTCGAGAGTTTGAAGTTTAAATTGGCAAATGTAGAGTTTGGGCTCAAGAAATGAGGCTGAGGGTTCATGATGATCAGGACATTGTCCTTGTTGCTTAAGTTACAATTTATTGTGGGCTGAATATCAAAAGTTGAAGTTCTGGTCAAGAAGCGCAAGCGTGGTTCAGGCATGATTTGAAGATCAAGGTTCAAGTGACCGGTGTTTTGGGGTTCAATTTAACCAGTGGAATTAAATTCTTAAGCATTTTTTTGTTTGAGAGTTTGATTGGATTTCGAAAGATAAGGCGCGTGATTTGTTTGGAGTACAAGATATAACTATTATTCATGATTTCTTGAGATTTAAGTTACAAAGTTGAGATGAGCATTCGAATTATTCAAGAGAGAATTTTGGAATTTAAATAAGATGCAAGAAGTTATTTGATTTCTACAACAAAATTCATTCAAAATAAATTCGTGCAAATTTGTGCTCATTACATTTTTGAGACAATGTTACAAGGCATATTACAGTGTGTAATACAAATTACATTGTTTTGTTTACAAAGAAAAGAGAAAAATAACGTGTGTTTCTTCATGTTTTCATCTTCAAGTCATTCATCCTCGCCTTGGTATTTTCATCGGTCAATCTCGCTTTGGATCGTCCAATAATCATGCTCATGAAACAAGAAAAAAAGAAAAAAAAGTTAGCGATCAAAACATGAAAAAATTCAAACAAGAATTAATTGATTGGTATCTCATCATAAGGGTTTGCATTTGGAATCAGTTAAAGAGGAATTTATTTTTAATCATGGACCATTTTTCTCCCAATTGCAAATCACAAAAAGCTTGTGCCTTTTGGTTCACAAAAAAGAAAAAAAAAAGAAGATTGCAAATATTTTTTCAATACCGCTGCAAACAAAAAATAGCAAACAAAAAACGTACAAAGCAAACTGTCCCACAAAAGCAACAACATAGCTACAAAAGAACATGCAGCGCGCAGAACAACTACAGCAGGCCAGCAGGCTAAGTAAACAATACAACAACATAGCAAGCTAGCAAAACAAGTTGGCAGTGTAGCAAGCAAAACCAAACAGGAAGCATAGTTAAAAACATAACAAGCAACAAGTCAAAGACTAGCAATAACCCAAATACCCTATGTCATCATGTTCCAAATACACAAACCGTTCAAAACTTTAATTAGATAAAAGCAGTAGGCTTTGCATCACAGAAAGATAAGAGAGGAAAAAAAAAACCTGCACATTACTGCCCAAAACCTGCACATTACTGTCCAACAAAACAATCCAAAAACTGTTGTAAGATTGCACAAAAATAGGCAAAGCAAACTGCATCAAAAAAGTAACAAAGCAGAGCAGCAAATATGTTCAAAACTCACCAATAATCCTTCCCTCCAATTCCCATCCTCATCTCACTATAAAAGCCACTTGAACACACAGTACAGAGGAGGGATTTTCACCAAGAATCATCACCCGAAACATTGAAAAAGAAGAAAAAGATTAAGAAAAAAACTCAGCCACAGTTTATCCTCCTCACCACTCTTCCAATCTGTAAACAATAAACACTATGTATCCATGACTTTAACCTTCTCCATCTTCAACTCACCATTTGAAATCATAACAACCGTGAATCACCATACACCATACAAACTGTGACTTCCATTCAGAACAACACCCTTCGAGCCACCAAGTGTAAATTTGAACCTAACCTTACAAAAACACGTCTACATCACTGTGAAATACAACAGGGGACAACCAGAAAAAATCAAGAACAAGAAAAGAATCAAAAAAAATTTCAGCAAGGGTAAAAATAAACGAAAATCATTTTTGTTCCAAAGATTCAGTAGAGAGAAAAGCCAGAAGAACACAACAAACTCAAGAAAGAAGAACTTACTATCTTTTAGAAGCCCCATTGGAGAGGCTCCGATAGGTATTATTTTCTCATTCCTCTCTATCTACTTCTGCATATGTTCATATTTGAACCACTTTCTGCATCATCTCTTTTCCATACGATGCTTACCTTATCGTTCTTTCTTTGTTGTATTCTATTTGAATTGATGCATGATTGTTAACCTGTAAAATCAAAGCTCAAACCTGTTAAAAACATCAGTAAACTAACTTCATCCTCTTAACTTCAGCCCTGCATTATCTCCTTTATTAATTCCGTCCAATACTAATTAACCTGTAAAGCATCACCAAAAATACTTCAAACCAAAAGAAAGAAACCAGATCGAACTTAAAATGCAGTAAACCAGTTCCCTTCATCTTCTGATATACAACCACCACCGGAACCACTCAAAAACCTTAACCCCAATCCATTTCAAAATTCCAATCATTCATTTCTGCAAATTCCGATGAGGCATGGCTGTGTCTGGTGAGGATGATACCTCCAACAAGACCTCTTTCACCTCATCAAGTGTTTCAGAGCTTGTGTTTCTTTCAAGACCTTCGATCTCTTTAACTTCTCTTTCCATAACCTCGACATACGCACTTTTGGAGCGGTTGCTGGTGTTGTTGTTGCTTATGTCTTACATGGAGGCTGCTGAGATCTCCAAGTGATAATCATGAGAGGCAGAGAAATGGCCGGGTACAATGAGAAAACCAGATGAGAGACCTTACCTTTTTTTAGGCCGTACCTGTGTAATAAGGGAAAATAGCGAACTGTGGACTTAACCCAAAATGAATTAGACGGTCTTAACTGTTTGAACCCTCAGAGTCGCGGTTCGATCCGTAGAACATTGGATTTTGTGACGATGCAGAATAGAAAAAAGCATACCAGATGTGAGGTTCATATAGCTCCAAGGATGAAGATGATGTTCATTATAGCAGGTTGATGTTGAAGTACTTGATGTGGTTCAGAGAGAGATCATTGTGTGATGTTGAAGAAGTGATGAAGGTGATTCTCTGGAGTTCTTACGGTGATCGGAGATGGATACTGAGAATTTTTTTGTTACGGCAGGAAGAGTGTATAGGGTACCAGATCGTTGGTGATCCGTGAGAGAGAGAGGTTTTTTTTTTCTTGCATTAATAGTTTTCACTTTTAATTTTTTTAATGGGAAACAACAATAATAATTAATCAACTTTCCTTCCCAATGCTAAGCAACAGCGGCGCCATTTGCTACTAGGGTTTCCAAGAGACCTTTTCCTTGTTCTCTCCAAACCCGAGTCCACTTCAATGGGCCGGTTGGCCCAATCTCTATCTTCATCACCTTTCTTATTTTACTTAAAGCGTAATAGTAACAGTTAAACAATGTAGCTCATTTGGCAAGGACGTTTGCATTAGTTTAAGGGGGACACGGTTCGAGTCCAGTTTGGGACGCTTTTTTTTTTCCTTTTAGCTTTGTTTCCTCCATTTTTTTTCTAACTTGTCATTTGTTTATAATTATTATAAGAAAACATAAAAAAGATACATAAAACATGTTTATAATTTAATCTTTATTAATTATTTGAAAATATACATGTTTTATAATTTAGTTTTTTTATTTATTTAATTTTTGTTACTTGTTTAGAATTGTTAATAAAAAATGCATGCTATTTTTTTTTCATTATTTAATTGATCAATCGTTATTTCAGCTAATTTTGTCATTGATCGTTAATATCTTTCGACCGTCTCAAATCCAAGGGAAATATTTTGACTTCGTTAACTTCACGTCATCAAACGCGTCTCGTCTAATCATGTGAATACCTTCATTCCTCTTTCATTTATTATTTTGTTAAATCTTAAGGTAAATCTCCCAAAAAAAATCAATTTCCAAACTCATACCTTTTAAGTCAAAGCTTCGACTTTAGGCCGTTGTATTTTCAAAATCTCGCCCGCATCCACTCTTAGCCAAACAAACCCTTTTTTAAATCAAATCAAAAATCCCAAAACATTTAATCATTACTTGAATTTATTTTAAAACTCGCAAAAACACTCAACCAAGAAAAACTCCCCCAAAGGCATGTTATCTCCGTCCTACCGCGATATCGGCCGTGCCTATTGCTAGAATGCGTGTGTTAATGTCGCCCACTAAAAAACACAAACAAACCAATCATTTTTCTAGAGGAACCACTATGTTCTGATTCCTTCATTGGATACGTAGGCAAAAGGTCGCAAAACTCTCACGAATTCAATAATAAAAAAACCATCCATTTCCCTTTAGGCAAGCATAGTTGTAGATAAACACACCTTTTTAAGACAAACAAACAAAATGGATCCCGTTGAGTACAACGGATGTGAGGGGTGCTAATACCTCCCCCCCGCATAACCGACTCCCTTACCCTTTCTCTTGGTCGCAAGACCATCTTATCCATTCCCTTATGGTTTTATCGATATTTCCCATTCCTTCGGGATAAATAAAGTTCGGTGGCGGCTCTATGTTTTCCGCCGGTGGCTTCAAATAGGACCTGGAAAACTAATCACCAATGGGGTGACAGGTGGCTTGCTATGGTGCTCAAATTCAAAATGGGCGGGTGCACCAAAACAAGGCACAACGACGTTTACCCCTTCTTCAACACAATCAGTCATTAATAAGTCATTTCTGGAAAAAAATCTTCTTCTGAAGAGAAATACTCATTTGCAGAGACATACTCTTCATCTGACTCTTCTTCCGTTAAACAAACCTCAACCATATCAATTTTATGGTAATCATCCCTTTGACCTATGATCTTGATAGTTCCTTTGTCTAACAACAACTGAACACCCTTCTTCATGATTGAACATCCTCGGGGGTCTCCGCAACAAACTAGGAAAGATCCATATTGGTGTTCCACCTGACCAGCCGTATGGCAGAAGGTAGCGTGCAACTGTACGAGGTCCTCATTCATATACTCCACATCAAAAATTATGAATTCACCAGGACATCCAGAAACCATGTTCACTTCCTTCTCATACTCTGCCCCAGGCCCAATTATATGGATGAGGCCCTCATCCATCATCTCTTGTAAATCAGCCTTTATCTTCTCGCAACCCTGTATACTTGTAATGCAAATAGAACAACTGGAATGGTCATGCGTATAGTAGCTAAATTCAAAGAGGTCTGCGTGCATTTTCACCAAATCTCCTCTAACCAGGTTAATATCAAAAATCTAGAAGTCGCCTGGACAACCGGCCACCATATTCACAACATTTACTCCCCCGTGCTTGGGTAGAGGGTTATCTTTCACATTAGGTCCCACCTCCTTGAAAGATAGAACACCATACTTTACCAATTTCTGTACCTCAGTCTTCAAAGGATAACAATTCTCAACATTATGCCCTGGTGCTCCTTGATGAAAAGCACATGTTTGGTCTGCCTGGTAATACCAAGGCAACGGTGATGGTATGGTGGGAGGTGGCCGTGTTTGAACCAACTTCTTCTGAATCAATGCTGGTATTAGCTCTGTATAGCTCATGGGAATAGGGTTGTAACTCTCCCTTCTCTGATTATGCCCTTGATTACCCTGTTGGGACGATCTCTAATATGCAATTGTAGTTGGAGTGACATTCATAATAGGAGTAACTGAGGCGACTTGCTGATGACGCTGATAATCCCTTCTAGGAGTGTTTACCCTCCTCTCTTGTATAACAGCATTTGCATCTCCTTCTTTCTTCTTGGTAAACCCAAAAGATGGCTTCTTCACACCTCCGGATCCTTCACTCTTTGTCAAACGACCTTCTCTTACAACCTCTTCTAAGCGGATACCCATTCCTACCATCTCAGTAAAGTCACTTGGCGCACTTGCTACCATCCTCTCGTAGTAGAAAGCACCTAGCGTCTTCAAGAAAATATTAGTCATCTCCTTCTCTTCCATGGGAGGAATCACTTGGGCGACTACCTCGTGCCATCTCTGTGCATACTCTTTGAATAATTCTCTGTCTTTCTAAACCATGACCCTGATTTGATCTCGGTCAGACGCCATGCCCATGTTGTACTTGTATTGTTTGATGAATGCTTCTCCCAAATCATTAAAAGTATGGATATTGGCGTTGTCCAAACTCATATACCACTTCAACGCAACACCGGTTAAACTATCCTGAAAAAAGTGAATCAGC